TACGTCATCATCTATGTAATATAATTTAAAAAAAAACAAAAATGTAATAGAGTTGTAAATGGCTGTTTCTGTTTATTTCATTTTTTTTAATTCTTCATCCAAAACAACCACTATTGTCAACCACTATCTATTTTATTCAACACAATCATCAGGGATGGTATTCGACAAGACTTTTTGGAACGTGTATGTAGTCTACGTCGAAAACTCTAGTCTACATTTTCAACGTCGGAAACATCATTTTTGTGATTTTTCCACTTTTTTCGATATTTTTCAATGTGTCGATTTTGCCATTTCGAATAGTTTTGCAATCGTTGGTATTATCACAACTGGTCGGTAATTCAATGCATTGCTTTTTTTTCAGATATAAATATTGATACTATTCTAGAATTAAATGCTTTAGAATTAAAACAACTTATTGTTTGGTCGCATATCAAAACGCGACTCAAAACGGTTGCATATCAATGCGAGACAATATTTTGTTAACAAAGGAATGAAAAACATTGACTTTGTATTATACAAAATATGTAAATTTCGTTTTGTGCTGATAACTAGCTACTGTTCTGCCATGTTCTAGCAACAGAATTTTGTTTCGCTTTGATATGCGACGAGATTCGACGGTGACGTTTGAAAAACAATACGAAAAATATATCGCACTCATGACTGCAGGCACACAATCTTACTCTAAACTGTGTGTACGATATGAAGAGAATAAACTGCGAGATAGCATTTGACAACGATTTGAGTGACAGAGATGACAAATTTTTACGTTCTGATCACACCATATATAGACCACTTGAATTGAGAAAAAAAAATCTTCTTTTTTTCACTCTATATCGAGTCTTCGAGAGTTTCATAACATATGTAAAGAAAGTTTTGAGACTAAATTCAAGCGTACGCAATTTGAACACCAAAGAAGCATTTTGAAAATTTTTCTCAGTGGTAATTAGTTTTATTTATAGGCAATCCGAAAACACATTTACAGTACATTGAACGGACTATTGTCTTCGATTTTTCTCAGTATGTATCAAACCTTCAAAATCATGCTTTGGCAGACCGATTTGTCTGTTGAAATTCATTAATTTTTCTGGTTTTTAACTATTTTTGAAGATTTTACCTGGATTAGTAAATTTGTATAATTTGGCCCTTTGAAGGATTATTGATTATTAAAATTGGTCTTAATTGATGAAACAAGATCAATTTAAGCGTAGAAATGTAAAAAATAAACCAAAATTGTTATTACTAAAAATCACATTATTTTCGATTTTTTTGAAAATGTTGTCTTCATGCCCAATTGAGTGCACTCTCGTTGAAGTCGCCACCCTATATGACACATAACCACATCAAAAAATGGCTATTTTGGAATCAGCTCATGCTTATATAACTACTCTGGGCTGTAGAGCCAAATCGAGAAAAATTCATCCACCCTAATGTGCATAGGTTGATACTTTTGATTTGGTTATGTAGCGCAATAAACGCCTCAATTTAGTCTCAAAACTTTCTTTACATATGTTATAAGGTTGCTTTCGCTAAAAATGAAAAAAATAATTAAATTTTTATCTTCGATTTTCAAATACTATTGAATTTTCTGTATCATCTGGTGAAATCAGAATGAAAAACTCGCATTCCTTATCATCTTAATCACTTAATAATGAAAGTTATTTGCCTACTAAATGGCAACCTTTTATGAAACTCTGGGAGACTCGGTATAGGGCACAAAAACTGAAAAAAAAATCAACAAAATATGCAACAGTTTTGAGTCGCGTTTCAAAAACAAAGAATTTTTATTTTTAAAAATGTAAAAAATGAAAATATTTTTATTTCTACACACAAATCACAACTAACCTCAATATGAAAAAAAAATTGACATAAAACTCAATTTATCCGAAGTCTCAACCGTTTTTGGGATAAATTTTAATTCAGATTTTTTCCGCTCAAATATTTAAGTGCTTAACATATATCACTTTGGCATTTGAGCGGAAAAATGCATACTAAAATTTATCCCAAAACGGTTGAGACTTCGGATAAATTGAGTTTTATGTCAATTTTTGTTCATATTTAGGTTAGTTGTCATTTGTGTGTTTAATAATATTGTTTTAATAATTATTTAATCGGTTTATCACGATTGTGACACAAAAGTGAGGTTATGTCAACCAATTCATTTTTATTGATTTAATATTTTTGAATATTGTGGACAGAAAATCTCACAAAATTAAAAAACAAAAGATTTTTTATTTTCAAAAATGTAAAAACTGAAAATCTATTATGGCTGGTATGGCCAAATCACTTAATTTCATAGTAATATCGTATATGAAGGCAAAATTGTTACCTACACTTAATGTACACTTTATTAAGACCATAATACATTACATAAAACTTTGGATTTAGAAAATAGCTACCCCGGGCAAAATTATGAGGACCCCAAAAAAATGAAGTCAAGTTTTTGAAAAAAAAATTCAGGTACACTTCGAAACAAAATGTTGTACACTTACCTACACTTCCTCTACACTTAATTGAAACAATAAATTTAGAAAAAAAATTATGTAACAAAATTATGACTACACAGCCATTTATTTCTAGTGTTTTAATTTAACAGTTTAACGCAGTTTAATCGATTCATTATGATTTTGCCAAACTGTGACGGCCATATTGTCACAAACTACGATTAGTACTCGGAATACGCATTAGAGGTGTTGTTAGTTACGGGCATAATCAGGCTTCGGTAATCAAACAAAATGGCGCAAGAATCAAATCCAAAGGCTAAATCTAAAATTTTATGTTAAATCCTACTATTATTTTCTAGATCAAAATTACACTCCAAAGTGTCGTTTTTTGAGACATATATAAACCCGACAGTTATTCTGGCACACCCTGTAGAGCGTTCAATTTTTCATTAAAGCTCGAACACATCCTTGATTCAAAGACTTACAGAATAGCACTGTCAATGCTATAATATCCGCACAAAAAATGTGTATTATGTATGGGAGCTTTACCTGTGAGATACAGTTATCATTTCACACAAAAAATAAAACATTCTCAAAGTTTGAAGAGATTTTGACGAAAGTTAAGGGTATACAAATTTTTTGAGCCGTGAATCGAAAAATTCACAGAATTCAAATATAAATCCAAATTTTTTGTATTTTTCTATTTAAAATCCATGTTTGTTTACATTTATTTGTTTAATTGCTGTTTTTTTTGTTTTCGACAAATTGATGTAGACCACTTGATTTTGCTCATGTAGTCTACCATAGGTTTTCGACATGTCAAAAAGGTACGACGTAACATCCCTGAAAATCATGTCAATTTTTGTTGCTCGTGTAAACATTTTTCTTGTAAACTTATCTTGGACACATAGCATGGCGTCCACCTAAATAAAAGTTAACCATTAGATTATTGTAAATTAATTAGATTAGATTATTTTAAAATAATCGATTACCGTCCACTGGTAAATTGATTCCGGTAATAAATGAAGCATTTTCACTTGCCAAAAATACAATGGCATCGGCAATTTCATCGGCTAGACCAGCCCGTCCTAATGCATGTGTTGTTTTGGAATGCTCCAAAAACTTGGCGTACGCTTCATCGTTCATTCCTCCCCGTTTGTGTAAATTTGTGATCGTAACTCCTGGACAAACACTTTTAAAGAACATAAAAATTGTGCAGTCAAAAAATATACTATAAAAGTAAAAAAATTGAATTTTGGCCCACTTTTTATAAAGGCCAAAAATTGGCCATAGGCCTTCATTTTTTTGGTCTTTATTCTTCAATAAGTTAAATTTGTAAGGTTATTTTGAAAAACTTTGATGAAGGGGTGTTTGTATGGTGGGAGCTTTTTTGGAAGGTGTTTTAGAGCCACTATTCGAAAACTTAGTGCTGAAACGTAAGGTTATACCTCAATTACTTGCGCCATTCTCAACCAAATATCGTTGAAATCAATAAATTCGTTGAGAACTATTTGATTAAAGACAAAATTGTACTTTGCAAGCAGAAAAAACCACAATAATGGCTCACTTCATAAAAATCAGCGATACGAACCGAAACCAAATCATTTTTTTGGTTTCACTTAAAACCAAACCGGAGTAATCGGAACGTTCGAAAAATGGTTTCTACTGCGAATCGCAGTCTGCGACGAGCTGTACTGTGTGCATAGCATCAACGTTGTACACTCATACATTCAAAGCATCGCCATTCACGTGAATGTATGTTCGCAATACAAACCATTTTCGGAACGTTCCGCTTGCTCCGTTCCGTTCAATACACAAATGAATTTAATTCGAGAGAAAGCTCCGAAATCGGTTTGTATGATAAATGTCAAACCGGCTCACATCGCTGTAAAAAATAGCATTTCCATGTAAAAATCCATCTTTTTAACTTCACAAAAAGTCACCAAATTAATTAATTCTCGTCTGTCTTTGGATGTATGCTATAGGCGAAGGTCCAAAATACTTGAAACGTACAACAATTGGTTTGATGGATTGAGAGAAAGTTGGAAGAAATCGAAAAATCGGTTGTCCAGAACATGATTATGTACGTTCGACGCATACTGAGTAAAATCGAAGACAATGGTCAGTTCAGTGTACTGTAAATGCGTTTTCGGATTGCCTATGAATAAAACTAATTACCACTGAGAAAAATTTTCAAAATGCTTCTTTGGTGTTCAAAATGCGTACGCTTGAATTTAGTCTCAAAACTTCCTGTTCACATGTTATAGGGTGGTGACTTCGTCTTCGTCGTTGAAGAAAACTTTTTCTAAAAATCAAAAAAATAGTGATTTTTAGTAATAACAATTTCGGTTAATTTTTCACATTCCTATACTGAAATTGAATTTATTTTATCAGTTAAGACCATTTTAGTCTTTATAATCCTTCAAATGTCCAAATTGTACAGATTTGCTAATCCAGGTAAAATCTTTTGAAAATCGTTAAAAACTTTTTACGGATTTGTAAAAGATTCAACCTGGATTAGCAAATCTGTATAATTTGGCCATTTGAAGGTAATTGTTATTAATAAAAATCTTCAAGTCTTCATTCTCGTTCAAGTCGCCACCCTCTATGACATATAACCCCATCAAAAAATAGCTGTTTTGGAATGAGCTTATGCTACACCTAATACTGGGTACACAATATACCTAATCACGATCTGAACTTTTTTCACTGTTTGAGTGCTCTATACCGAGTCTCCGAGAGTTTCATATAAACTTGCTATGTGATGCCTATTGAATAGTAAGCGAATACCAATCGTGATTGAATCAATAGGCGTCATTTGGCTATTGAAAGGCGAGAGAAAGTTGCAACTGTGAAAATTTTAATAAAATTTCTATTAACATTCTAATAAAAAATCTACTAAGACCTAATAATTAGTAGTTGTTAGTAGCTAGTAAAATAATAATTATTACTTCTTAGTGGCTACTAAGAACTACTAAGTAATAAAATAATAAAAATGATGAAACTAATTAACTAATAAAAATTCAACTAATTAGTAGAAAAATTAACACCTATGTGTCTAACACAGATTTCTTAGATCTAGATGAGTAAAAAGAAAATATGGGCAATTTTCACTGTCTCTCATTATAACATACCTGTTGCAACGTACGTTTTTTGTGGCAAGCTCAAGAGCCACACATCGTGTGAACTGATCGACAGCACTTTTTGAAATGTTATATGCAAGTACGCCAGGAAAAGATCGTATACCATTTACGCTCGATACATTTACTATATTTCCTTGACTTTTGATAAGCCACGGAACTGCCAATAAAAAAATTGGATGTAAATGCTTTTCTTTCAATTATTCACAATGAAAGAGTTAAAATAATTATGATCATTTATTTTAACTCAATGTCTTGCATCAGTATTTTTTTTTAAAGGATGATTGGAGATCATAATCACTTATTCAATTTTAGACAAAATTGATCATTTCGAGAATTACATACCTGCCAACATGGTTAAATGATAAATTGAACGTATGTTGCTATTCATGACTCGATCAAATTGCTGAAGTGATGTAGTTTCAATGGAACCCGTCTCTAAAATACCAGCATTATTGATTAGAACGTCAAGCTTGCCATATTTATCAATCGCTTTTTTCAAAAGGTTTTCAGTATCCGCTTCTTGTGTCAAATCACCGGGAACAATAAACGCTTTGTCTGCACCAACATCTTTTGCAACGGCCTTTAAATTCTCCAAATTACGACCGGATAAAACCAAAGTTGCTCCTTGTTTCGATAAACGAAATGCAGTCGCAGCACCGATACCTGTAAATGTGAGACAATTAAAGTGATGCTGTTATGGCTTGAGATATTTCAGTTGAGATTTTTTTTTAAATAATGCATTTTAGATCTTTATTCATAAAATTGCATTTAAAACATAAGTCAATCGAAAAAACTAAGATCAGATAAATCGAAAATAGAAAAGACGATAATTCGGACAGAGCTAATTCAAAACAATTGAGAAATCCAAAAATGAATCAAAAAATAAAAAAGCTGATGACATTCCTGATGACGATCCACTGATTAACACGATTTTCCCTAGAAAACTCATCTCACAAGTAATAAATTTTTTGAAATGAAATTTAGCAAATCACAATCTATGATGAATGAATCGAATGAAAAATTCTTTCGAAACTTGGAGAAGAAAAAACAAAATAATAATGTGATAAGACAATTGTGATACGGAATATATTGAAAGTTGATAAGAATTCAGAAAAAAATTAGAACTGTCTAATTAGAACTGTCAAGTATGTTGTTGTATGTTTTTTGAATTTCTAAAAAAGTAAAAAGGTGATTTACTTGAGAACATTAATTATTATTGGAATTTTATTTCGTATTTAAATTTCTCTCTATAAAAATTGAATTCACGTATCCCTACGATTGAGCGATTTGAGAGATGAATAATTGAAGAAACAATAAGTTCCATTCGTTCCACAAAATTTAAAATGCAATCAATCCAATCTGTCAAATTGTCTGTGGTGGAACATAACCTCAAATTAGATCTAAAAACATTGTGCATTTAATTGTGTGATTAATTGTGTTGAATTACGAAAGCCACTAATTTATTATTAAGTGTAAGGAATTTTGTGTTGCCAATCAAAAATGCTGATCAATTTAAAATTCGCCAATCATGTTATCCGGTGCGGAAGTCATCATTGGAAGTCGGGTCTACATTCGATAAGAAATCAGATGACTCAAAGTTCTGATGTATTTTCGAAGAATACCATTCATCAACATACAAAAAATGTTAGATAAAACGCTAAACATTTATTAGATACGATATTAAAATATTCAAATGTTTTCGAAATAGATTGATTTCGTTTGCCTTCGGGGACCATACAATATGAGTTTGCGTCGTTTTGCTGATACAGTTAAACAAAATGAATCTCGAAAAGAAAAATTGGTGGGCTCTTGGCTTTTGGGTTGCGCTGGAATGGTCTTTGGTGCAGTTATATTAGGTGGAGCTACTTACTATTATATAACATACTGTAGCGTGCGTAAAGTTCTACATTCGGCCTTAGACCCGAATTCAAAAAAGTATTAATGTATTGCCCGCGAACAAAATGTTTGACAAAGTAAAAAGTTCTATGAAATAATTTGCTAATACCGCAAATGTATCTAATAAATAACTTTGCCTAAATCACAAACTGTTTTCGGATATTTTTATTTACCGAACCAACTTCTTTACATTTAGGTGGAGTGACAAGGCTCACAGAATCAGGTTTATCGATGGTTACGTGGAAACTTCTGGGTGAACAACTGCCGTGTACCGAAGAAGAGTGGACGACTGAGTTTGAAAAATATAAAAAATTTCCAGAGTTCAAAATGTACGTACAGTAGAACAAAATAACAAAATAACAATTCCTTTGATTTTTTTCCTTTGTAGCACAAATAAGGAGATAACGTTGAATGAATTTAAATGGATTTGGTTCATGGAATATGCTCATCGCAGTTGGGGGCGTTTAATTGGTGCAGTTTTTGCTTTCCCCGCTGGATATTTTTGGTATAAGTTTTTCCTATATGTCTATAAATCTGTAGCTTGACTATAGTGGTCAATAACCACAGATAAATATAAAAAAAACTGAAGTCGCTCAAAAATAGATAACAATATTTACAATAGTATCAAAACAACGCCACAGCATACAACAATTTATAAAAGCAAATTTTTACATTGCATTCAGGTCAACCCCTACTAGCGGTGTAGAGTACTTTTTTTCTCCAGGATCGATTACAACTAACAAATCTCAAATTTAAGCAATGTTGTATGTTCAGGCGATTTAAAATTTATTTGTGGTCATTGTTTTACTTTTAAACTGTATATTATTCATTTCTCTCCTATTTTTTTCCTATCTCTTTCATTTTTCGAATTCAACACTCTTATATTTCAGGTATAAGGGCCACTTGAAGGCGGGAATGAAATTACGAGTATTACTTTTGGGTGCATTGATTGGCGCACAAGGATTAATGGGATGGTATATGGTAATGATAGTATCATAAATCATAGGCCGTGACTGAAATTAATCTTAATTATTTATTTACATTTAGGTTAAGTCCGGGTTAGAAGATCGGTTCCATAAGCCAGAAGATGTTCCACGAGTCTCACAATATCGTAAAAAGTGCCTTCTGTTCAAAATGAATTTGTTTATTTTTAAAATGAATGTTCTTTTTTTTGGAAGGTCTTGCATCGCATTTGGCATTAGCATTTTTGCTTTACACGGGCTTTCTATGGTCAGCACTTGATCATTTGTGCCCAGCACAAGCATTGCCATCACATGGACAGTTTCGGGCGATCGCTTCCAAAGCAGCACTTCGATTCCGTGCACTGGCACATTCAACAAAAGGACTTATTTTCTTAACGGCCGTATCAGGTATATGTCCGATGCAATTGAACAATTTGTTTAATCTAGTATAAATCTTACAATATAACAGGTGCATTTGTGGCGGGACTCGATGCGGGTTTGGTATATAATTCATTTCCAAAAATGGCTGACAAATGGATTCCATCGGATATATTAGCGTTTTCACCAACTATTCGAAATTTCACTGAAAATCCAACAACAGTGCAATTTGATCATCGAATTCTCGGAATCTCGACACTTGGTCTGATTACAGGACTATATATTTTGTCAAAACGAGTGAATTTACCAAAACGGGCTTATACGGGTAATTCTTGTTTAATAATTTTTACAGCATTAATTCATGATTTTACTTTTATAATTTATACAGCTGCTACAGCACTGGCCGTTATGGGGTGGATTCAGGTTCCAATCTGTTCAATTACTTACATTATATGTACGGCTGGTAATAAAAGCGACTTTAAGCAGAAAAAATCTTAAAAATGTCTCATAATTTGTACAGGATTTACATAAGATGGAGACGGTTTAAAAAAACTTAAAGTCACTTTTATTCTCAGCCGATCATATGCATTTAAAATAATACTATAGTCAATGAAATTTAAGTTTAATTTTTTTCTCATCACGTATGCTTTTATTCGGCAGGTTGGATTAGGCATCACCACATTACTTACCTATGTACCTGTTCCATTAGCTGCTGCACATCAATCAGGATCTTTAATACTTTTGTCCATAGCAATATGGTTGACGCATGAATTAAAACTTTTAAAATATGTACCAAAATAAAGTCGTAGACTTGTCAACATTTTTTTTTATTAATCGCCAAGAAAGAGATATATATGACGTTCCCGATTGCTGATATGTTATATGTTGAGAATGGACCTTTGAGCACTTCCAAATAATCTTCAAATACCGTCACTTGAAGGCATTGTGATAACAGTAGTACTTTTCCTCGATTTTTGCTTGTGATTCCTTTGTTTTTTCACAATGTTTTTACATTTCAAAATTTAAATGAGATTGATATAACCTAAAATGAGGATGGATTTTGCCCAGCGATTTTGCGATTGCCTTTCAAACTATCTACGGATTTAGTGACTAATTTGTGATTCTATTAGTTCGGCGATTGGGAATTTGATTATTTAAAAAACGGATTATATTGTACATTTAAAAGCCTATTGGCCAATTAAAAAATGTATAAAGATGCTATTAATTTTACCAGATTTTACCTCTAAACACCCTCTAAAACAGGCCTATTGGCCAAAAAGTCTCTATGAAAAAGTCTCATAAAATTTTGAATGAAAGCAAAAAACGAAAATCTAATGATGCAGAATTTTAGCGACCAATTTGTGACTTCTAAGAATGTCAACATTTGAATTTGCTACATTCATTTTTTTATATAGTTTCAGCTTTGTTGAACATTTGTATACAAAAAATATATTTGACAAGTGGTTAAATGTCAAAACTGATGAAAAAAACTGAAGTGACAACTACATTTCAATTTCGTTTTAGAATATTTTCAGCTAAATCGATAAGAAATATTGGTAAGATAATACGGAAAATTTACGCAAGTAAGCCAGACTCCATGATTAAGAAAAATTAACATTGTTCCTTTAATTAAATTGATTATTCATTTATCTGTTTGATTGTTGATTTTAATAACGGCAATGTGAGTCGACGATCCATCGTCGCTACCACTCTTACTATTGTTGTTAGTTAAATCACTGTCGATGAGAAATAACAAAATATCTTAAACTTAGAAATTTCAAACATGGGAAAATCACGACGTCATCGTACACCTGAGCGAAAATCATCTAAGTATCGCAATCGTTCAGACAGTTCATCCAATTCGTCGTCATCAAGCCGATGCAAATCTTCGTTGAAATATAAAACTAAACGACAAAAGAGACGTGATTCTCGGTCACGATCGCCATCGATACATCGCAGTCGCCAACGAAGACGAGCAACTAGTTCTTCGGATTCATCGAGCAGTATTTCTATGGAATCGAGAAAGCCATCGTCATTGTATGTTGATAGAATCCGTGCAATTCGGACACCGACACCACCAAAACTGAACTTTGAGGCCAGTATGCAATTTTTGGATAAGCGTCAAATTACAGATGCTCTGAGTGAAATTAATGCCAATGAATTTCGTCCAAAAACATTTTCATCAGTGAACAACACAAATGTTAAACAAGAAATGATAGATCTTATTATTAAAGGCGAAGCAAAAATCCAAAAAATTGATGCAGGCGATGATCCCTTGTTTCATCAAAATGTAATGAAGTTCAAAATCTTCTTTTAAAAATATTTAAATTGTATAAAATATTGTATTGATTCATTTTCATTTGCAGGTTTTCGGAGACGATGACAATCGAATGGAAAAGTGGGTGCATAGATTCAACAACTATCGACAGAAAAGATTTGCTTCGATTAATTAATATTTAATCATTTGAATAATCTGGACTATTTCATATTTAATAAATGGATAAAGAAAATTCAATTCGGTTGTTGAAATAAATGTACTTAAATGTACTTCCCCTATAAGCATAAATACAATATTTGACAGCTGTCAAACATTGAACTTGACAGAAACAAATAAATTAAAATTGTTTTGCATAATAATAGCCATTAATTTTTTGTAATCTACAGAGAGAAAAAACTGTGTGATAATTGACTTGATTTTTGTTTTATGAATGGAACTGAAGCAAGGTTTAATTACTGTAAAGATAAGTAAATAGCTGATTCGCCCACAATTTTCATCATGGCTGGTATAAAGTATTTGTTACAAAAAGAAGTGTTTGACGCTACTAATGAACGAATTCTATCCGTTTGTAATGTCCAAAAGTGGCACAAAAAGAAGCGAAATTCGTATTTATGTATTGTTGCAGAGGCTCATTCGATTCCAATATTAGTTCAAGTAAAACAAAATGCAGGTAAAAAAAGTATATTTTCAAAATGATAATGGTTTATTCCATTGAATCTCTAGTATTATTATATTTTTTCTCTCCGATTCATCCCCAGGTATATATCGAAAAAAACGTACGTGGCAAATGTCCGATATAAAAACAATTGATGGAAGAAACGATTCAACGACCGAACCAATTCATGAATTTGATATTGTTTGCGAAAAAAGTTTCAAATGGTTTGCAGCCAATTTGCATGAGCGTCAAAATTTCATCACTGTGTTGTATCGTCAGATAAACAAATATATAAAAGTTCCTGAAAATCGAGCAATTTTCGTGAATGTTCCACAAATATGGCTGCAGGAGCAGTCGCCGGAGAAAATTCAACACACTGACGATATGAACAATGGTAGTGGGTCAATTGTTGACGAAGAGAGCGATGAATTTGAAGATTTTCAAGCACTCACCGAAAAAGAAGAGAAGGAATTGAACAAATTAATTTCTAATTCTAACCTGGCTATCACCGATGCCGAACAATTCATGGAACAATTGAGTAAAAAATTGCAAGACTTGGACGGAGCACAAGTACAAAGTGTGTTGGCCTCTGAAAAACAGGTGAATGCATTGATAGAACAAATCGAAGCAGCTATCGAAGAGGCAAATTTGGTCGAGGCAAGATTTGATGAATACGATGAAATCTTGTGTCATGTACGCGACACAATGGAGAAAATGGGCGAGAAAAATACAATGATTGAAGTTGCGAATACAAATAACATCAAACTATTGAATGAACTAGAAAAATTAATAACACAATTAGATTTACCATATCAAGATGCATTGAACAAGACGGATTTGAAAACACCAGAAGGCTTGAAAGCTGCAATTGACGCCGGAAAAGCATTACAAACAGCAATGAACTGTGATATTGATGCGGCACTTTTACGATTGACAGCCGTTCAAGATCAACGCAAACGTTTTGACAAGTGGAAAGCTCAGTTTTCACAAACAATTAGTCGCCATTTAAATAATATGTTTATTCACTGTGCAAATGATTTGGGTGAATCACAGTTGAATGCTGCATCATCGGGAAGCGGTGAATTGGTTCTGAAAATACATAGCGACGTGCATAAAGCACTATATGGCCAAAAAGATCTTATGCATTGGCTCAAGTCGATGGATCGTAAAGCATACGATGGTTTGACAAAAGTTTACACAAATGCAATGAGTAAAATATTTTTCCATTATTTGTTTCTTTAGTTTCGATTATTTTCATTGTTTTCTATATGATTCTACCACCATCTACCCCCCCCCCCCCCTACTTTCTTACAACTCATACTAACAAAATGAGAGTTCAAACTAATCGAATAATGTTTTTTTGTTCTTCCTTCATCCACCAATGGCCGCAAAATCACGAAACGAACGATAGGCAAACTTTATGAGCGGGAATTGAGGCAGTTCTTTGATTTTGCCAAATCGTCAATATCGCTACAATTGCTTAACGATAACGAAATGAATACATCAATTTCAAGTAAATTCAAAAGTCCACAATCGAAACAAATATCACAACCATATGGAATACTTGGCATTAGCAAAGAACAATGGACAAATGGGTTGGACGCCAATGAACGTCAACGCTTTGAAACGATTATGGAAAAAGTGCTGACCGAATTGGAACCAGTGGCATTGAGTGAACAACACTTTTCCATTCAATTTTTCCAACTTGATGTTCTGAGTCCCACCACAAAAAATACACAAACTACTTTGGATGGTATCATGAGCACTAGTATCGGTCCATGTGATGGCAATGATAAAGAAGGTAAAATAATAGGAATTCATTTAAACCAAAATATCTTTTTCTATGTTCTGTCTTTTCAGGTGTTTTGGAACCACAAAAGAAGATGGATCGCCAGATCAATGAGGAAGTTCGCCGAATGATGACCTCATTATTCAACATTTTGGAATCAGAGTTAAACAGTTTTATTAACGGTTTTGAGAAGTTAGATAGTTTGTTAGTATTTTATTTTAATTATATTTGCTTGAATATCACTTTGAATGTCATCACATAACTTTTCTTCTTAAAACTTTCATTTAATTTCAGTTATTCCATGTACGTACTGGTACGTTTGACGCAGCATGTAATGTCAGCACAAGACGCGCACTCGTTTTTAAGCATGACATTCGCATCAGCATTGGTCCAAGTTAAGCGAAATTTCGACAAATTTATGAATATCCAATTGCAGTCAATTATTGAGTCAAAGGTACCTAATAATCATTATGTGAAATAATTTCCGATGTGTTTGGTAATTAACATGTATGGCAAAAGCAATTATCATGCAAACTTAAATTTACACTCAGAACGGTGAGTGTAAGCAAGTAGTAAAAAATGCTTGAGCAAACAACATTGCATAAAGAACCTTGTCAAATCTATATGGTTGTCTCTTTGAGTTAAACTGACAGCTGGATAACTTTTTGACATTCTTCTTTGAGATTTGATTTTATAATCGATCCTGTGAAAAAAAAAATGAGTAGACGTCTGTGCTTTAATTGTTTTTATTGTTGGAATGAGTTGTCGTAATGGCGGAATGGCGGAATGGCGGAATGGCCGACAAATTTAATCATATTTAAAGTATATGTCGCGATTTAATACAATTGTGCTTCTGCGTTGGTTATTTGCATTTCGTTCAAATCGATGAACAGAAACGTGAAAAAATTGAAAAAAATAATGAGATGTCACTGTCAAAATTCTGAACAACTTTGTAGTACAATATTTTTTGATCCGATGAACCTTTGAAAAATTGGGGGCAACCCCATCTCCACTGGGGAAAAATTCAAAATTCTACACCGATAGAATTTTTTTATTTTTTACCCCCAACATACCACCCCAAGGGGTTTTCAAAATTCCCACCCCCTAAGAGTGAGCCTATTATATGCGTCATACTTTATTTTTTTCTTTATTTTATTTTTGTAATGTACTCAAAGAAATTGAACAGTGTGAACATGAATGTGTTCATTATATTCCTCCCATTTACACTGAAGTTGTTTCTTCCCAGTGTGAATCGTCATTTTACACTTTGATTTTGCAAGTTCAGTGTAAAATGATTTTGCGTGAAAGAAAACTATTTTTTGAAATTATTAAATTTTTTCGTGTTTTTATTTTATTGTTAAGTATCCAATGAAAGATTTAAAACTTAATTTGGTTTGATATTGATTCAATTTGTAGTGATTTTTTGCTCTAGAAAAAAATTTACATTGCGATGTAAAAAGCACAAACAAAATTCATCTCTCACGTCCATATTTGGGATAATTTGTATTATTTTTTCAATATTTAATCGATTTTGTACATTGAAAGAGACTAAACAACGATTAAAGTGTTTTTTATGCATGAAAATGTGAAAATGCAAAAAAGCGCTTGAAATGGTGCCATGTCGTTTCACTGAAGGATCGTTACTTACGATAATTTTTCATTATTTCTAAAAATTATGTTGATTAATTTATTTCCATAATTTCCTATATGATTTAGGTACCGCGTCGTTCAAAATGTGGTCTTTTACCATATGTTGAAAATTTTGAACAATTTTCAAATACTGCCGAAAATATCTTCCGCAAAACGGAACGACGTACTGACCTGGATAAGTGGTACATAACTTTCTATTATTAATTAATTCTTATTGATTCTTTTTCGATTATTTTCGATTGTTTGTCGATTATTTAAAATTAATTTTATTCTTTTCTTTTGTGATTCTCCCCTTAGGTACATTCAATTGATTGATGCCATTTTTGAACACATTCCAGTACATGCCAGTGAACATCCAAAAACACCCGACCAAGTAGTTCGTATGGAAAATTTTCATCACATGCATTCACTTTTAGCTTATTTAAAAATATCTTCGCTCGACGAACAAAAGAAGATAGCCAAAGTTAAATACAATGAAGCGTTGCGTGCTTATGTGACAAAATATTTTGGAAGACCGCTGGAAAAACTAAATCTTTTTTTTGACGGTGTTCAACAAAAAGTTGGTCAAGGTGTGAAAGAAACTGAAATAAGCTATCAAATGGCGTATTCGAAACAAGAGCTACGGAAAGTGATCGGTTTATATCCTGCTCGTGAAGTGAAGAAGGGCCTTGAAAGTCTCTACAAGAAGGTGGAAAAACATTTATGTGAAGAAGAAAATCTGTTGCAAGTTGTATGGCGCGCCATGCAAGAAGAATTTATTGTGCAATACAAATATTTAGAGGAACAAATAACCCGCTGCTATGCGAATTCAATGATAACACTTGATTTCACGATTGATGATATTCTGAATTTCTTTTCAGAAATAGCTCAATCACATTAATTGATAGCTTGAAGCATATGATTGAAACCAGTTTTCAACGATTATTGATTTCAAAAATACTATCATCTAATTATTGTAATTGAGATAATGTCTCGAAATAACAACTATAAACTTTAACTGTAATCCCAATAAAATTTAAAGAAATTATTATTAATAATCATCATTGGTGTTTAAATGCTGAAGAAGTAAAGAATGAATAATTTTTAGTATAGTTATTTTATTATCCGCAAAAAAAACACATTGAACTGATTTTATTTCAGAAAAAAAAGTCTTATTTTTACTGTAAAAATATTTGAATTTTGGATGTGGATGTCACAAGCAAAATGGTAAAAATATATCGTGTAATAACAATGTTACACATTTTGGTTGTTGTTTATGTTGTCAGTGAATAACGAAATATACTGAAGCTTGATCTTCAAAAGTCCGGCATTGACTTCACACCAACTAAAAATAGTAAAAAAAAAATGTTTGTCGCTTATTCATAATTCCACATTACAATGTTTATGAACTAAGAATGTCATGTTGAAAAAGTACTTACGATAATGTTCGCTGCTTCAAACGGCACTTAACTCGGTGCTTAATTGTTGAAAAACCACCAGCACTGTGTAATCCACGACCAGTAATAATAAAAACGTATTTGGAACCTCTTTTTGCATCTTTGAGCTCTTTGAGATGTCGATCGAGATAAATATCTAAACATTCGATTGCTTCATCAGCGTGTAAATAATGTAAATCAAGCATATTTGGATCCTGTTGTGTGTACGAATGTACTTCAACAATGGCATTAGCCGCTTTATGATTGTACATGTCAATTTTTTGATTATGTAAGTTGGCAACGGTAGTGTAATAGTATGCCACACCTGTTATAATAAATATATAAGTAAGTTCAACCATTAACCACACACTCATCACACTACAATAATGGATAGACCTGTTTGCTTGCGTTGAAATGATTCCCGCGCCTTACTGTAACATTCGGCTTTTAACTGATAAAAAGTACAGTGTACATTCAGATGTGTGGTCGTTTGGCATTGTGCAAAGAGAATGAAAGAATTAAGAAGTACAATTTGAAAAAGGTTGATCGGTCGCACGATATAAATTAATAAAGGCAAATAAATTAATAAAGGCAATATATACATGAGCGTGATGCATAGCCAAATTGCGGCTTTCTTCAAAATCTTTAAGAGCGGCTCGTTTTGCCTCCTCGGCGTCTAATTTATCTAGTGTTGGATATTCTTGGATCTTATGCTTGTTGGATTTTGAGTTTCCTGGCAGCTGTATCGGTTGGATCTAGGATAATATACACAATCAAATGTAAATGCGTAATATGAATCTTTTCTCAGTTTGGTGATGCTGAGAGAGCGAAAGAAGAGAGAGAGAGAGAGAGAGAAGCAGAGAGCATTTAGAATGACTGCATGGATTTTCCCTGCATGGCTTACCGCTTGCTCTTTAACTTGTGCAATTAACTCTTGGCCTTTGATTTGGATTTGTGCATTGATTTCGGATTTTAGGTTTTCTTTGAAAAATTCAACAGTTTTATCAAATCTATTTCCATACGCCGTGAATACTTCAAATAAATGTTCTCGCTCAATAGTTGGGAAAATTTCACATAATTTCGCTTTTGTCATTTTCATTGCTAAATCTTCACGCGTAGTTTGCTTCCATTCGTTGGCATTACATTTGTACGCATTCCACGTGTATTCCATATCAGCAATATTTTGAATGTTTGACGTTTGTGTCACTTCAAAGAGGCTATTTTCTGCTGGAGGCTGTTTAATTTGCAGCTCTTTTGCAAACTCTTCGTCATCTTTGATTGATTGCTGTTTTTGCTCCTCAATTTGATGATGAAATGACTCAATCCACGTTGCATACCTATTCAAAAACAAGATCTGGTTATTTTAAAATCGAAAAAGAGAACATAAATCGAGAGTGCAAATCTTTACAATTGTTGGGCGAGTGACTTTTTTAAAAGAACTACGGTTTTGACGTCTTTCAATGTTTCATTTTGAAAAGCGTTAGAGCCAAATTGTTTGTCTAGTTGACATATCAATTCAATGCCTAAATCCATTTCAATCATTTCATCAATATCGTCGTCATTTATATTCAAGTCAGCTGGTGTAAATGAACACGAGGCAATAGCTGTATCTTGATTATAGCCACCAGCAACGTCTGTTGTTACTGTGGATGTGGCACGGCGATTGTCACGAATTTTTTTGGTATGTTCTGAGTAATGACTGTCGGAAATAACAAACTGTTTCTCTATATATTTGACTACATCAGTTTCATTAGTATTTGTATTTTGCTTCTGACGTCTTTGATTTCGTGATACTATAACATTTTCCTTAAGCCATTCAACTGGAATAGCATCAACTGCCTGCGAAAAGTCGGTACTTAATGGTTTATCACAATCACATGAAAAATTATCTCGTTCGATATCTTCTTGTGAAATTAATGTTTGGAGATCTTTTGTTTCGCTCTCGTTCAGCAAAATATCCATAGTCCAATTTCCATCACCATTACATTTTTCTATTTAATCAAATTGAAATTCTGATTAATTATTGTGTTTTATACATAGGAGTCTCAAATAGGTGGCTCACTATCAGGGAGTGCAATTTTCGAGTGAATTTTTTTCCAGGGGGTAAAAAGGGTCGATTTTATTTTTTTTTGTGTTCTATCATGTTCATCGATTCCGTCTCTACAAGATAAAGTGATTTTCAGAACATTTCATATTCACCTATTTGAGACACCCTCTATGTGACATATATATGCTCGAAAATTAAATTTGTTTTACAAGTCAATTTCACGTGGAAGAAGTTTTAATAAAATCTTACTTATATTATCGAGCATACATAATATGATGGATATAGTAAATAATTACCGAACAAATCCCAAAGCAGTGCAATCGGAATCTGGGGAAAAATCTGTCGAATTTGTTGGAATGATTGATTTTCATTAATGCAATCTTTTTTGTGTTTCATCGGGACAATTTTAATATTTTGAGTATCTGTCGTCGAATGATTTGTCTTTGTAGTCAAAAAATTATACATATTACTGCTTGTCATGTTGCTGGTAGTTTTTCTTTGCGGTATTAGAAGATTTTTGTCTACAGAAGTATTCCAAAAATTTATTGATTCTTCTTCAAAAGCCGGCCATTCCTCGCTGGATTTATTTTTACTTGTAGTAACTAATCTATTATCAGCATATTCATGATTTAGTTCATGTCGCTTGGATCTTTGCTCTCTTTGTTCTTTTGGTGTGAAGCGTGAGCAGCCACTCGCGTTATTTGAGCTTTGTTGTTGTTGTTGTTGTTGTAATGCTGGCTTTAGTGATTGACATGGACTCATTGGATAATTATAAATTTGCATTGATCGCAAGATTTCTGTAACTGTTCCAGGTTCATAATTCGATAACATTCTAGCGATTGTCTAAGTTTGAAATGTAGTATTTTTTTAATAGTATTTTGATCTCAATTTATTAAATTATTAAATTTTTACCTCCTCGCTAACATTATGTTTGTTGCGTTGAGCCAATTTTCCGACTGAAATTTTCCACGGGGTATTGGGTTCAATGATTTTGATAATGTATTTATTTTGAACGGCTATTTTGAAATACGGTATCATTTCCCACAATTTCATGGCCGTATTGTCCACTATTATAGGACTTATGAAGAAAATATACATTTTCGTAAAACATTTATTATTATTATTATTATTATTATTATTTAATAAATTAGAATATTTTTAGAACTTATAGAACTCACCTCCAGCCATTCATAGCACGCTGTGACACTCTAAATTGATTCCGATCATGTGCTTCGCTTAGTTTACTTCTATCGAAAATATACTGTTTGGATCGTTTGTCATAGAAGAAGTCATCTGTCGAAAATATATGATTGTCATAATCCGCATTCATTGTTCGATCAATGATGCAACGCGCCAAAAAAGATTTTCCACTACCGGGGGGCCCCCTTAAACAAATTAAAATTCGATGATTTTGTTCAATGTGTTTAATAATATCCGGCATATCAGGATGCTTATCGATTGTATTTGATATTATCCGTGGTTGCTTGAATGTTCTTTGATTTGCTATAGGTGCATTGATTGCTGCAAAGCCTTGATTTTTTTGCAAAGCCTTGTATGGCCATGGTGAACGCTTGTCGTTTGGTTGATGCATTTGCTCCCCACCACGTAGAAACTGTGACTTTTCATTGTCATGTAGATGTTGTATCTCGTCTGATTCAATTAAAACGTCGGCATCGTCGTCAAAATCATCATCAGTTTTGTTAATGTTATTATTGCTTTCCATTTGCATTGATGTTGATTTTTCTATAGTACTAGGATCAAATCTCACTAACATTTCAATGCATTGATCCACTAAGGGAAAAAACCACAAAACATCGATAGAATTATGATTTCATTTCGATAAATTGATAAATACTATATATAAAACATTTAAATTCCGAAACAAAAAGATCAGTTTGACGCAAGCGAATATGTATATGTTTTCACCTGGGTTGGTATGTAGATTTTGTAAATGTAGATTACTACCATGTAAATTACATATTTTTTCCCATGTAATCTACAATATATGTAGATTATTCAATTTTGGCTAACAATTATAGTAAAACCACCAGAAATTGTATCAAAATACCGAAAATTATATGGAATTTTTATGGTAATTTTTATTGAGAATGTGTCTATTGGACTTTTAACATAATAAATCTTTTCAATAGAAACACATTCACCAACCTCGGACAATGTTTTGAGTGGCAATTTGACTCTAATTTTGAATTTTTTAATAATCTACAATGTAGAGTATACATATTCTACGTAAATTACATTTTTTTTTTTAAATCGTGTAGATTTTCCAACCCAGGTTTTCACATTTATGTTGAATGCGTTTTTGGGGCTCAAATATCGTAGTTACCAGAATCAAATTCATTTTACTCACATTTCCATTTCTCGTCTCGTCCGTATATTTCAACCTTCCTGACCGTTTTCAGAATCTCTTCGTTTGGAACTGTCTGCCCAAATAAATGTGTCAATTGGGCAAATATTTTGTCGTCAAAAGTCGACTTATTATCCATTTTTTGAATTTTCATACATTCAATGACAAATACACATATTCTCATTTATATCTAAAAAAATTATTTATTTTACACTCTTTAAAATGTATTTAAACTTCGAATTTTATGTATTAACAAATAAAATGATGATATGGGATTTCATTATCTCTTCTTTTTGAATACGTTAAATTTCTCGAGTATACATGTGTGCATAAGTTATGCTTACTTTAGCAATTTCTATGTTATGTGATATGATGTGTCAGAATGTGTGTTTTGACAAGGCTATAAGCTCTTATTGGCTTCTGACAGCACTACGAATTTACATTTGGGAGATAAATTTGAAATGTTGGAATTCGCGAGTGAAACATTTTTTTCTATTAAATTATTTTCTGTTGTAAAGATAATTTGAAATTTCTATCATTATTTTATTTTTGGTATTGTTGGGTGAAAATAATTGACAGTTGTTGACATTTCGTATAAGACCCACATAATCAAAATGACAGTGTAATCATGAAAAATTGAAACTGTGGAAATTTTTGGAAAATTTATATTAAGGTAAATAATTCAAAAATAACATAATACTTTCAGAGAGTTCCAAATTTCGGCGTATTGTTTTTATAAACATTAAGAATGTTCGAGCTCGCTAATTTGGGCTTGTATTTAGTTGATTGTCTTTGTTTCGTGATTGATTTTGACATGTGTGACAATGGCGATTCAATGGCATCGCATGAATACAATATAGTGTACACGAACGATTCAACGCATCGTTTCAAAAAACTAAGGAAATGAAAGGATTTTACTAAAATCAAGCAATATATTCAGATACAATATTATAAAACAACTTGCAAATCATATCATTTGTAAGATTTTTGCTATAAAATTAAAGTGTTCACTTATTTGATTCGACCAATAAAATTTCTTTTTATATTGATATTGCATTCCGTACAAAAAAAAATCATAGTTTACTCAATTGTATTGTGTTTTTGTTAAATTATTTTTCCTCGTTTTCTAACAAGTTACAAAAAAAAACTTTTGGATAATTAAGCCATTGGGTAGGACATTGAACGTTTCGATTGTTCATTTGAGAATTGCATTGTTTTCTTCAGTTTATTTATTGCACTGTGTTTATTTCACATTTTTATCGATGTGATATGATTTATTCACAACAAAACGGGCATTATATCATTGACCATTCAATTTCTCCTCTCCATTTAAGTTAAATTTATTTTGAAAAACTTCGATAATTTCAAAAAGTGTACCTTTTCTTTTGTATGAGAAAATGGCTTTTTACTTTTATATGAGACTTGCGACATAACCTTTTTCGTGCTTAAATTTTCTCAATAGTTGCTGTCTGCATATTTTCATCTCATTCCCTCTTTTAATCATAAGTTTTTTTTGTGTTATAGATATTGTCAGTTGAAATCTTATGGATTATGAAGTGCTAATAAAAAAAAACCAACGAAGCCCCATTAAAATTAAGTTGTAAAGTGTTTTCGAAAGTGAAAATTTATCACATATTAGATTGTTAAAAATAGCGTCGCGTTTGAGTTTATATGATTTGTTTTGGTTTTTATCTTAATAAATAATGCCACGAGGTAAAAAGCGTACAATGGAAATGGCACCAGCTGAAGAAGAACGGCAGACGTCCAAACGACAACGAAATAATGTTTCTAGGTATGTAACTTTTCGTGTGTGACACAGCTGTTTTGCTAGGGAGATTATTGATAGACATAAAATTGTACTTGGTATTGATTATAAACATTAATGTACATGTGATTCAAGGTCAAAATCACATCAAACGCATTTCAAAATTCAATTGAAAATATAAACAAAAAAATTACTAAAATTAAACAATTTCATAAACTTTTTGTTATGTCGATTTTGTTGACGCTTTGTTATCGTAGATTTTTTATTTAATTAAAAACGATAGAATTTACATCATTATATTTGCTTAAAAATTTGGATATATACCTATTCGACACCTATTTTAATTGTGAAATTGGCTTTGCCTCATTTAGTGACAAAGAAATGAACGGATCATGTTTAACGGTTGTATTTTGTCCGAAACATGTTCTGGTTTTTACCGTGATACTTCAACATTTATAGAAAAATGCCGAATTCTTCAATACAAATAACGCTCAGCCTACTTTATTGTTTTTAGCATTACTGTTAGGCAATTTCAGTTCGTTTTAATAATTTTTTTAAATTTAAAGTGTCATTGAATAATGAGCAATTTTTTTAATGGTAGCACCAAAAAGAAATATGTCGAATTAAACGTACAATAGTACACTTTTTCCTGGTTCATACAAAATTCATTGATCTATGAAAATGAGAATTTTCATTAAAACACATTTTTTATTTCTTTGTTTGTATTATATTTTGAAAAATTGACAAGTAAAGATATTGTATTTTTTGCATGGATATAAGGAAATAACTAATATTCTTTTTTCTGTTAGTTCGAGACGCACAAATAAAATCGAAGATGGATTTAATATTAAACGTTGCCTCAGCTGGTTCAAACAATACACAATAGCAGAAGAACCCGATGTACTCGGACCAATGCAGATGGAACAATTTTGCAGCGATATTGGCGTGGAACCGGAGGATGTAGTCATGCTTGGTGAGTTCATATTAGTAGTTTTAATACATTTCATATTAATTAAATGTGGTTACATATTTATGTTATAATTTTCCTTATTATTTATAGTGATAGCATACAAAATGAACGCACGTCAAATGGGATTTTTTACACAAGCCGAATGGCAAAAGGGTTTAACAGATTTACAGGTGGGCCTCGAATTCGAGATATCTATTGATTTTTTTCTCAAAATTAAATAACAACGCACATTCTTTCGAGGATAAATAAACAAATTTTTAATTATAAATATAATTTACAGTGTGATTCAGCCATAAAACTGCAATCAAAATTAGACTATTTGAGGAATTTGATGAACGATCAGAACGTATTTAAAAATGTATATCGGTATGCGCATGAATTAGATTAACAAACATTACATATTTGCATGCAGGCATCATCTTTTCATTATATATTTTTCAATTGTTTTGTTCAAAATTCATATATAATTTTTTCTGTTCACTTTTTTAGGTATGCATATGATTTTGCACGGGTAAGTTGATAGTTTTGTTCAAAAATAAATCATATGTTATTCATATGATTGGATTAGAATACTAGTGCAATCGAACTTATGTCACTTGCTACTTACTGCCAGAACGAAATTTGATAAGCTATTTTTGAGATTAAAACCCCCCAACATTTCCTAGACTATCTCCTATTACACTGTAAAATAGAAGGGATTAAATATTAATCATTTGGGATTTTTCATCAAAATAATCCAAAAGGATTAAATTTTAGCACTGTAGGATTAAATTTAAATATTTACTAATTGTAGCGAATTGTAGGACCACGTTGAAATCCCGCACAAAACCCAGGGCTTACGGCCGAGAGCTCCGCGCTTGATCCAGATGAGAACGCAATGTTCGTTGTGTTGTTTGTTGATTCTGAAAATGACAATGATTATATCAATTTCTAAATATGAACGTAAATTAAAAGTATGTGTAGCTTCAATTGATTAGATAAATTCAAAGCAGAATTATTGAAATGATTACATACTTGATTGGATGCTGCTCGTCTTGATTGTCGAGCTCGTGCTGGTGGTGCTGGCGGTGGATCTCCTCCTCCTGCATTTTCTTCTTCTTCTTCAACATGCCGTTGAAATGCTGGATGTAGCTCTATATTCATAACAGCACACCATCCTGTTTGTTTGTAAGGAATAAAAAAAAACGAATTCATTTTCTATTTTTCATTGACTTGTTCATATTAAACTGAGAGCATATCAATTTAACAAACACAAACCTTTGTAGAGAATGTTACGACCTGCATTTGCATCACGATTCCAGGTGATAGTACGCCCAATTCGAGTTTTCTCTTCATATTTACGAAATTTTGATGCCATACGTGGACCATCAGTACGGGGACGATGTTTTCGTTGCTGCGTCAATTTGCGATTGCTTTTTCGTGATTCAATCGGACCTTGGGCTTTTCCGAGCACATTTTCTCCACACAATGGTTCGCATCCATGGCATGTGAGATAGCGATATTTCTCCTTTACTTTGCCTCTTTTTGTCGGTTTTTCAAGTTCACGGAAGCACAACGATTATAATTTGGTCGTCCGAAATTCGTCCACCTCGACCACTGTACATTTACGGCGACGTTTCAACTTCTCGAACAAATCTCGCACCTTCGATCGAATATATCCTCGGGCTGGTGAATCTGCCGCAATGAAACGATCACCGACAAATATGAACGTTTGCTTACCATCGATGAGCTTGGTTGCATATGCATCAAGTGCTCTATTCGTGTCAATGTACTGGAGAAATGCTTGCAAAGCGTATTCATACTGTGTGTATGCTGTGAACTTTTCTTCAAAATGACGCAAAATATGATCAGCATATGATTTATGGTCTTCGGCTCGTGGACCAGGCTGCTCATCAAATGACTCACGATGTAGACGCATCTTTTCATCGATTTCAGTTGTCAACTTTTTGCGCCATTTGTTCCATCGCGATGAATTTTTCATATCTTGGTATTGGCCCGATGTCAATCGAATGATTGTTTCGATCGTTGAAATTGTTAATGCGCACACCACCAATGACCAAACGTTGTCCAGGATCGAGACCATACACTTGTTGGCTTTTCAGAAGCATCTCTTGTGTCTCTTTCATACGCTCTTCATCGTCTTTTTCAATGATGAATTTTGTTCGTTCCATCAAAAATGACATACCGACACCATCTGTTTGAATGGAGTTGTCGAATTTTATTGTTGCATGGCCATCATTTTTGTTTCTCGGTTCTCTTTCGATGCTATCGATGTCGAAATACAGACGCCATAATACATCCCATTCTTTACTTTTGATGTCTTCCTCCTGTTTTGGGCCGCCGTTTTTATTGCGAAATAATCGATGTGGACATTCTATATGTCTCAACATGCGATAAAACACTCTACGATCAATTCGAATGTAATGTCTTTCGAACGATGACGTTGGTACCACGGTGAAATTTCTGTATTCACGAAGCTCGGTTCGTTCACCTCGCTTCAATGCGGCTTTTCGTTCACGTTCATGATTGCGAATGTACCTATTTTTGTATATTTTCCAAAAAATAAATTGATAAAATTACTCGTGTGATATTTGTAGAATTTTCAAAATGGAAAAAAATCGCATAAAAAATACAATCGTTTGATTCACAATAATAAATGAACGAAAACTCACTGTTGCAAATTCAGGAATATTGGTATGTATTTGAACCAATTGCTTTCCATAGCAAAAAAGTACCCTTTCCCATCGTCGAATCGGATTGGCTTTAATGTATTTTCCAGTTCCCACATCAAATTCAGGTCTGGCACACAGTTGGAGTTTCGCTTGAATAAGAAATCCATGGTGTCATCAATTTGAGCCTTGCTCGCGTTTTGATGTGTGAAAAACTTTCGGATGCGTGAGTGAGTGTGCATACAAATATTATTTTTGTAATTTGTATAAAACATTTGTATAAAACATTTGTACTGCGTATTCAACTACATTCCCGAATCCTCCAATTACTGGAGCTCGAACACCGTATTTTTGGCAATAGTATCAAATGCCGTAACACAACCTGTGCCCGCTTTCTCTGGCGTCGTTAAATGCATGCTCAATGAACTGAACGCCGTAAAACCAATCTCGAAATAAATTTTTGTTGACGAATTGAGTATAGAATGCTTCGATTTGCTCGTCTGTACTGCGCTTGAAATGATCACTGGTGAAATAATGCAAATTCAGTGCACCCAATATGTAGCACCGTGTCATTTCTAATACGTATACGTCAATCAACTGAGCAAATTTTCCAGTGTTAATGGGCAGATTCACTTTTAAACCTTTTCGAGCACTTTTTTTAATTGTTTGGTGTTCTTTAATTTTTATCTTCTTTCGTGGCTTAAACGCCGATTCGTGATTCCGTTTGCGACCGCTCATTTTTAGCAACTGTTAACGTATTGGAATCTCCACCGATATTTATACCTCGAAATATTGATGAATAATCAAAATATATTTTGATAAATATAAAAGTGCCGGTTTAAAAATATTCAGGCCACTGTTATATTTATCAAAAACTACAATGACTATGATAGACTATGCATGCCATCAAATAAATTTATTAATTATACTCAAAAATCGGTTGATTTATTATTGTTGATGAATTTATAGGTTCCTGGTATTTTAAAAACAGGCCTCTAAAAATGTATCAAAACATACAATCACCGATTCATGTGATCGAACGGGTTCACAATAAACAAATATCAATGCGTTCATTTCACTCTTGCATAAATACAATTTCATAATTCTGCAGTCCGATTTCAAATGCTGACAAAATGTTCGCTAAATTACACTCCCAAAGGTGTGATACGGAATTTATATTGATATTCGATGCAAAAGAATCTTATTGAAAATCATTCCTCAACAAAGCAAGAATTAATCTTTCGTCAACACGCATTTTACGATAGTGTTTCGGTTGTTCAAGATTCTGATGGATTTTGAAAATTTTGCAAAATGTTTGCCATGTTACCCTTTTGAAAAAAAATCACTGAGCACACAAAAGCGGTTGTGACATGGAATGTTGATATTGATGCGAACCGACCCAAAATTCTATTGAAAACCATTCGCTAATCAATTCTTTACTTTGTTTTCACTAGCTATAAAACATTTTATCAGAAATCTAATAAATTGCACAGAAGCGATGGAAAAAAGGATTCTATTGAGAATTATATTCTAATAAACAAACTAATCGAAATTCCAACAGAAACAAAATTTAGTTTTTTGGACAACGGTGCACGTGATTTACACAATAAACATAAGACCGTGAAAGGTTATGTTTGCAATCGAATGACAATGACAAGCATTTGAAGTTTCATGTAAATGTCAATACAATATGAAACAGTGTTCCAAAGGAAGATTCATTTTGAGATATTTTTTTACAAACAACAAAAAAGTGTTTATTGAACTCAAGTTAAAAAATATAAAATGATTCCATTGGATTACTTTTTAGTCCTTTTGGATTAATCGTAGCTGAAAATCCCAAAATACTAAATATTAATACCACCGATATAAGAGTGTAGCAAGTTACTAAAGATATAAGTTTGATATCACGGTTTCGTCTATTTCCACTTTCGTTCTCAACCACAAATATATTAATTGTTTTTCTGTAAACATTTCAATTAAGCAGGATAAAGATCAACGGAGTATGGATATTGAAACGGCAAAGGCAATGCTGCACCTGTTATTGGGAAAATGGCAAATGTATCCGGAATTCGCACAATTTTTGCATCAATCAAAGTACAAAGTGATCAACAAAGACCAATGGTGTAACATTCTTGAATTTTCCCGAACTATCACACCTGACCTTTCAAACTACGACGTTGATGGTGCTTGTAAGTGATATTTGATTGCTATATAACCTTTTTTCACAACGTGTTTATTTCGATAAATATTACAGGGCCCGTTCTCTTAGATGAATACGTTGAATTTTTGCGAATTTCAAGACACAACGAAATCAGCTGAAGAAGCACTCTTCAATTTTGCGTCAAAGACTCAATATTTGACGTTATTAAACTCATCGGCATAAACGATTTATTATTTACAATTTTCTTCTTTATTCAATTTGATTTTGTCTGTTTTAAATTTTACTGAGAAATCCAATTTTGATTTGTAAAAATTGAAAGAAACCAAGAATTAGTGATATAAAAAAAGCCAATCGACTTCATAACCAAACATACAAAGAAACAAAAAAATAAAATAAAATAATCGATACGCTTAAAGACAAATTGTTCAGGTTTAACCAGATTGTGAAATGCTGTAGATCTGGTCATTAGATAGCAACCAAAACTATCGACGGAAACTTGTTATGAAGCAGAAGTCATATTTAACTAACTGATAGACACTTGGAATAGGCAATGAATGAAATTATTACGTTCTCAATTCAAAGCAAATGCTCAAATGATTACCCTCCTCCAAAATGGAACGCTAGAAAAACAAAACTACAAATTCTTTTCTTTAATTTCTATTCTCAACAATTTCGAATTCATCACTATTTTTCCGTAAGGCAATTAAATGGGATAGTCATCTCAAATTTATGAACATTTGGTTTTTCCCGTTTTTAATGTTTACGTAAGTTACAAGTTTGGAATTCGCCATAATTTTTGCAAAAGAAAAACCACAACGTAATATACAGTGCCGTGCAAAAGTTTGAGACCACCTATGTATTTTTCATACAAAATGGCGTAAAATAGCATTTTTTGAGGTTTCAAAAATAATCAGAGAATGTCATACGGCTTGCTATAAGCAGCTTGCTTGCCTGCGTCGCCTATCGTGCGGCAAGCAAGGAAACATGCAAACACATATACGGCAAACGAACCATATCTACTACATGGTTTTCGTACGTGCGACCAATACGTCTACACAGATACCGCATCTCGCACGAACGAAAACTGTTTGGTACATATGGTTCGTTTGCCGTATATGTGTTTGCATGTTTGCTTGCTTGTAATTTAGAAAAAAATATTCACTGGTTTTGAAATGGCAAGTCTTTGAATTTAATCACAGATAAAAATGACAAATTTTGTATGAAAATTAATTGTTTTTAGCTATCATTGGATTCAAAGACTTGCCATTTCAAAACCAGTGAATTTTTTTTCTAAATATTTACTATTTTGCCAATCATTGATTTCTGAGAATAAAAAGTATTATTTTTGAAACCTCAAAAAATGGTATTTTACGCCATTTTGTATGAAATTTTTTTGTATTTTTTTTTTTTTTTGGTGGTCTCAAACTTTTGCACGGCACTGTATATATCGACCCATCGATCGGTATTTGGTGTGCAGCCTGATAAATGTCACATATAAGGAAAGGCAAGGGGGAAAATAGTAATCTCCACTACACCAAATTTGCAAAAATGCATTTATTTCTTCTTCCAAGAATCAAAGAGCAAATCTCCTTTTGATCCAACAAATAGCATATACTATAAACAAACATAAACTCACCATCATAATCAAAATACCAATGGATAGGATAAAAATCTCCCTCTTGCATCATTATATTATACTACATCTGTACATTTAAATACTAGAATAAATAATAACAAACAAAAATAAAAGTGGTAATAAAAAAGAAACAATGATAAAAAAAATCGTTTTTTTCTAATCTACTAGGCGTTTCAACAAGTAACCTAACAAGGAAACACACAACATTTTTGGCAAAATTCGAATTTTTTCTTCAACATAATCATTCATAATTCCTTTTAGCTCAATACAACGAGTCCAACGATTTTCCAATTTCTTGGTGCCCTCAAAATAGTAAGATGTGTCAAGAAGTCCAAAATAGCTCTCAGTTTCCCATTCGAGCTCTTCATTCGATGTAAACCGTTTACCAGTCAGCCAATTTTTCAGGTTTCCAAACAGATAGTAGTCGCTGGGGGCTAAATCTGGTGAATGGGGTGGTTGCGGAAGCAATCCATAACCTAATTCATACAATTCTACATACAAAAAGAGGATATTTTTCTTCTTCAAATGCGGCCGTCTCCACTTGATTTCTTTATTCAATCGATCCAATAACTTTGAATAATCGGCGCATATTATCATTCTAAACTTTTCAAGATAATCGATGAAGATTATACCATGTATATCCAAAAAATAACACTGGCCATATCCTTACCAGCCGATGTTTGCGTTCTTGGTCGCTTCGAAGCACTTCCACCGGGGGAAACGCGCTGTTTTAATTGTGCTTGCCTGAACGATGTTCATCACTTGTGCTTGTTCGACCACGTTTAAATTCAGCTATCCAGTATTTAACCATTTTATCTGACGAAGCAGATCCCCTAAAATGCTTATCAAGCCTTTCTTTGATTTCTTTTGGGGTTTTACCTTTCAAAAAATAGTATTTTATCACAACACGAAATACACTTTTTTCCATGGTGAAAGAAAAATGCAAAGTTGTTTACTTTCTACGGCTTTCAAACAGGTGCTATCGCATAGAATGTTTTAAAATTTGACATGTTATCGTCTAAAGGGTTGTTATAATTGCCAATAAGATAACTTTTTTATTTGTACTCTGGTGTTTGGTACCTTACTTATTGAAACGCCTAGTACTATTTGATTGGACTGGCCCCCAAAACACAAAAGTTGGAATTTTGTCTGTGCTACACCGAGATATTTTTCCATATCGTGTGTAAAGTTTCATGTCGATAGCTCATCGCTACATCATGCCGCAGGAGCTCGGTAGATCATTTTATGATTTTTTTGAAAAATGACATTTTAGGTTAAAATAAAAATATCTTCGCACAAACGTATCAACTAAAAATTGATGATAATCGTCCCTTTCCATCAAACATTTTCTATTGGTGAAGTTTTAAGCGATTTGCTTTAAAATAAATTAGTCTACCCATACAAAATTCCTTCACAAATTAATTCAATTTGAAGCTAGAATACTTTCTGAGAACAAACAAGGTGATCTATCAAGCTCGTGCGGCACCATGTAGCGATGAGCTATCGGCGTGAAACTTTAACTACACACGTTATCTACACACACATTTGAAAAAACATCCCGGGTAGTACCGACAATATTCCAACTTTTGTGTTTTGGGGACCAGTCTATTTTTTATTTACCAACTGTTAAATGAAAGAATGTAATGGAAATGAGAAATAAACCATCATTATCGCTTCCATTTCATCTTATTTATTTAATATTGTTCATACGTATGAATATTAATTTATGTAAATGAATTATTTATTTTTTATTAATAAAATCTGTCACGTTTCCATTATTATAATACATATTTCTTTTTTTTTTAACATGTGTGTATATAATTTTTTTCCTTTATCTTCTGAACATATTTAGAGAAACGTTCAACTCAACATTTGCCAGCACAAATTTTGGGGCTTCTGTAATAATATTATTCCTAATAGGGTGGATGAATTTTACGAAAAATTAGTAGTTGTATAAGCTGATTCCAAAACAGCCATTTTTTTAATGGGATTATATGTCATACTAGGGCGACTTGAACGAAAGTGAAGAGAACTTTTTCAAAATTAGTGATTTTAAGTAATAACAACAAATTGATCTTCTCGTGACGAACAAATTGATCTCGTCAAATGGCCAAATTATACAGATTAAAGTCTTTAATATTCGTTGAAAAACAGCAAAATTAAATAGAATAGAATATCATAGCCTGATAGGGCCAAGAAGAATGTTCTTGTATAATATCAGAATACTTTGAATAATTACAACAGCGTATAATATGATATGCAGCGTAGTCCACAGTATGACATAAATTTGTTCGAAAAAAAAAAACAATTTTCGAATTTTATGTGATTAATCAAGAGATTTATTTTATGAAACATGTTTTGTTATTAATTATCCGTTTTGTTAAACTTATTGTGCTTCTGTACTTAATTGCTATATTTTTTATTTTTTTCATTCCATTAGTCAAACAGAAAACGCTGATTTTCTTCTGATGCTTCCATCTTATAAATTGGATGTTTTGAAATGTGTAAAAAATGTGGGAGTCGCAATTGCTTAAGCTGAAAAATAGAATTGAAGTAATTTCAATTAATTGGTTTTTGAATTGAACAAATATAGGCTGATTCAATTTTTGAATTGAACAAATATGTTTTTTTTAAATTATAACTGGGATTATTTCAAAATGAAAACAAATGTACTTTTTTTACGTTGAGTGAGATGAAACACCAAACTCACCCAACTGAAAATTGGCAAAATATTTATCATTATCGAAAGGTTCGATTGGATTATCGATGACAGATATCGAGCCTTTATGGTCAATATTGGTTTGCGTAAGTAAAATCGTAGTTGTAGTTTCACCAACATCCGTACCGGCAAAGAAGTTACTTATACCGATTTCGGCTAACCAAAAATATCTGCATTCAAATTTGTTTTGAATTTAAAATTGTGTAAACGATTTAAAACTTACCGGCGATTCCTGCAATAGCTTCTGATGCAAAATGCTTGACATCTACATCTTGATCTGCATTCAGCTGCTCCAAAGCCGGTTTAACTTGTGTCTCAATAGCTGTAGCTTCTAAATAGGGTGAAATTTTTTGTAATGTTTTTGCCACATTAAAACGAACATTGGCAACTCCGTCCGTTGCCAATAGTAAAACCGTTGGCAATAATAATCTGGTTGTCATTTCAACTCCACATGCCTCGGCCAAAACATTAATACAGAACAAGCAAGTCATTCCTACGGAAAATGCAATAATAATAACGTCAAAATGAAGAATTGCAATTTGAGTTTTTGAGGACTTTCGTTTATACTTACTGTGCAAGTAGTTCTTGTCGCGTGCCATAACTAAAACAGATGGAATTATGGTATTTTCTGCCCACTGTGAACCGAATTGATCGACTAATTTCTTTGTATTCAATGTAGCTGCTTCACGAATAGCGTAAACGTGATCGCTAAGCCAGTCCATGCATAATTTACGCAGTTTCTGATCAAAGAACTCTTGACCCAATTGACCAGCAAGAGCCGGCATGTATTCGATAATAGCTAAGCGAACACGCCATTTCGAATCTTCAGCCAATTCGACGATTGCTGGTAGAAGTGACTGGAAAATTCAAATTAAATACATCATTTTACACAGAGCAATATTGGAGTGCTTTTAAAGTTAATATATATAAAGTTAGTTTGTGAAATAATTTAAAAACAATTATTATTTGTGTAGATCTTACTTGTGACAGTTGTTGAATTCCAATAACATCGTTCACACAGTCCAAATTCGATATTATATTCAATCGAACGTCTGGGCATTCGTCTTTCAACTGAATTAAGAACAATGGCAGTAAATGTTCAACAGTATTGTAGACCCCAAGAATTGGGCTCAATCCCATGATGACTGATGCCAAAGCAGACTTAACATGTTGATTTGGATCGGACACGAGTTCTTTGACATATGGCAAAATTGATGTCATTATAATTTGGACCTGATTTGTTTTATCTAAGTTTGCGCAAAATTCTTTGACTTTGGAAGCGGCAGCCGAACGTACTTCAGCTTCAGTATCTTTGAGTAGTGATTGGAAAGCTGTTACAAGATCTGTGCGTGTTATATCTGGTCCAACAGCCTTTTGCAAATCGCAGAACTTATCAGCAACCATGTAGCGTACTCGCCATGATGAATCATTTACACATTGACGCAAAGTTGGCATTACCAATTGTTCGACATCTTCTTGTTGAAGTAGTTGTGCAATACTAACACATGCTTCAACGGCCAATAAACGAACGGAATCTTGATCATCTTGAGCCAATTGAACAAACATTGGGATCAAATCTGCTTTCAAATATTCAACTTCAACCACTTTGGCAAATTCGCCCAATTTACTGGCTGCCGCACGGCGAACCTATGATATAAAAATGATTTATTAATTGAAATAATTATTATTTACTATTAATTGAATAATTTTTATATATAATAAATTTTATCCAAAATATACAAGATTAACGAACAAAAATTCATACCATTGGGGTTTCATCTTGACATAGTTGTCGGAAATTATTACGAAGTTCACCTTTGATTGCTGGAGAAACACGTGGATAGCAAACCGTGAACAAAGCACAAGCAGATGTACGAGATGTGAACCAATCACCAAAAGTCAGAGTGTTTAATGTTGGAATGAAATGGGTTTGCAAGTCGGCTACACTGTGTTGTGAGGCAACAATTTTCAGTGATTCCACAGCTTTATCACGCACGACTGTCTCTTCAACTGTGGCCAAACTCTCCAATGGTGGGATCAATGACATAGCAAATGCTGGACCTCCAACCAAATCTATGTTTTTATTTCAAACCGAAAACAGTTTTTGGCAAAATTTGACAAAATAAAAAAATAGGAAATTACTTATTTAATTAAAATATAAAAAGTTTATCCTCTTAGTAAATTACTGACTTGTGAATTGGCCTAGTTGTTCGGCCAATGCAAGAAGTACTTCATCCTCATCGTAGATCGTCTCAGTTAGGAATGGAATCAGCTCAGATCGTGTACGTTCTTCGCCCAATGCCAATGCGATTGTTGAAAGTTTTTTAATTGAGTTCAAACGAAGCTACACACGTCCCATTATTTGTTCAAAATACATTAATCGAGTAACAAACAGAGAAACACGAGTTCAAAATTAGAAAATCATTGAAATATAAACACATAAGCAAAAAAAGCATCATCGACTAGTCCCTGCCCTATTAAGCTATTCGGAACAAACAAACTTCAAATTGTGAATTCCGCATGCAGTGTACAACATAATTGCCTTCGTATTGTAAAAAATGCTAATGCCACTGGCAATTTTACTTTATCGTCATGTTTTGAACACAAAAATATTAATATATTTCTCAAACACTTACCTGAATGTCTTCATTCTTTAATTCATCAATTAAAACCGCGATCGGATACAATGATTCGTCAGACGGTTTATCGCTAGCAGCCATAATTCGTTTATACGTTTAACACCTTTATTTTACTTTTTTTTTTTAATTTTTGCCAATTTGCGTTATAGAAATTTTTATGAGATGTGTATGCTCGTCTTCACTTTGCACCGTATCGTGCGTTTTTCTATGTATTTTCGTTAACTGAATAAGTACAAAGCGCAAACACCGTTCCAAAGCGAAACTTTTTTATTCCTTTCAATATATCTTTTTCTTGCTTGTGAGTGTTTCTTCTTCTTTTTCAATGAATAACACACACCAATAAACAGAACGTCCGTGTACAAGTTTTCTTTCAACAAAGGAACGAATGACGAAACGTAATGGTTCCAACAAATGGTTCTACAGCGTAACAAAATGCCCACAATGTAATTAAAAATAAATTTAAAACAAAAATCTATAGGGATTTTTGTAGAATTTGTAAAAAGATTGTGTGGAAAAATACAACTGTCCGACCTTGCGGTTTTGAGACTATTCTTTTTTTCTTAGTAATCGATTGAAAATGGACGACTAAATACAGCGACACCAAACGATATATGCTCTTACTTAGTCAAAATGACATTGGAGACAATTTTCGATGCAAGCTAAATTATATAAAGATACTATTAATTAATTTAATTATTAATTTATTTAATTAATCTTTTCATTTAAATTCAAAATATACTTTCTATCGAATAAAGAAAAAAATCATGTATTGGAAAGAATCTGATAAAAATCAGTAACATAACCAAACTCAAAATGCTCCGAAGAAAACGTAGAGAGTGGAGAGATTGAACGGGCTTAGTCTGATACACAAGGTCTGTAGAAATGTCAAAAAATAACAATAATGCAAAAATTGAAAACAATTTCTTCTTATTATCATTTTGCACCCAAATATAGAATTTTACTTGCTATAAATAATTCTCAACAGTTTTGAATGTCTTTAAAATATTGCTTATTAACACAAAAAATAAACGTATTACTATGCATTTCCGAAAATAAGGATTTAGGTGAAAATCTAACATCATGTATCTTTCAATAATATGTAATGTGACGAAAATGGTAAAAGTATTCTTGAATCATCGTTTGAATAAGTTATCACTGACGGTAAATGCTAATCTTATTTGATTAGCTTCGTCTCAAATCGTATAGTAGTAATTCATGGAAAGATTTTCAATTCACCAATTAATTTGAATTCAACATCAACCGAAGCGCAATCGGTCAGCCTATGTTAACCGACGGTAACCGTCATCAACTCAAATGAAATAGAAGACTCATGTCAATCAACGTAGATTTTCAATTGGAAAGGATCTATCAAAATTCAGGCACAATTGAAAATGAAGCTTCCAGTAAAATAAATTGAAGATCAAAGTTATTTAAAACATATGGTTCCCCTGTCTGGGGTACAAATTGTATATTGATAGATTTTCACCAAAAAATACTATGTTCTTGGGCCTGTAAATACGCTCAATAGGGTCTGTACTATGCTGAAATCGAAAGAATTCATCAAACAAAATACACACATAATCTCTATTCGCGCCTTATAAAAGTAAAAAGTTACAAATTGCTTTCGTGTTGTAATTTGAAGTATGAATTGATTGTCCGAGAATGAATGTGAGTCTTCTCGTGAGAGTTTATTGAAATGTAACACCGCCATACAAAAATTGCTGACAGTCAGCATTTTTTGTATGGCGGTGTTACATTTCAATAAACTCTCACGAGAAGACTCACATTCATACTCGGACATTCAATTGTCACCAGTATTTCCATAAAAAATGAGTCGTCCGACCGACGACAAAAGTTCGGATCGGGAGGATTCGGTCTGAGTCTTTCGGTTGTTCGGATTTTTCGAATATTCCAGACGTGCGGTATCATAAAAAAAGTTTGTACAATCTGCTATATGAACTGCTAATTCAAATATAACAAGAAATTGAAATCGATCCAAATATAATAATTAAATTAAAAACTTAAATAAAAGAAAATGAAAAAGCAGGTAAATATTTTTTTATTCACAATGGTTTTTCTGTCGGGTTGTTATGTACTAACTCATTTTATAGTATGCAGATAGAAATAAAATCATTTTTTTGTCATTCTTTTTTTGTATTTTGTCATTAACAATTGAATTTCAACAAAAGAAGAAAAAATATTTTTTGGAGCCGACAATGGCCAACAAAAACCAGAGCAAATTGTTTACTATCAAGTTTAATTTGAACCGCGTTGAACGTTTAGGTAATAGATAACAAGCCGACAGAAACTGTGAAAAAATATTTACTCGTAGTATTTACGTGTCAACTCTTCAATTTTATCCTTTCTACTTCCAAAATGGGTTTTCTATAAATTCAGATGGCATATTCAATATGTGAATCGGGCGCCTACTTTCGTCGGAATTATTTGAATTTAAATCTCTTCCACTTTAAATACCATAAATTTGTTTCCTATTTTAAACATCAACTAATTTTTCTAATTGTAGTAAACATATGACATAATTTTTGTACAGATTTCAGTTTTTTAGCTCGCCTGATGATGGAAACATTGTTTCCGAAAACTTTAGCATTTTATAAATAAAATCACTTTAATTTTGTATCAGAATAAGAAGTTTTCTTCACTTATTTTTTTCATTTTTCAAAATTTATACTTCATGTAGACTTAAACACTCAAAAATTTGTATCGGGAGGCTTTTTAGCACGAGAAATCCGAATCCGATGTAATATTTAAGATACAATCATTTTTTGATACAGTTTCGTTAGAAAAATCACAAAAAATTTAAACTTTTGTATGGGAGCTATGCCTGTCTTTAATTAATTTATACACAAAAAAAGAATACTCTGAAAGTTTGAAGAAATGTCAATCTTAATTAGGAGTATCTCGCATACAACATTTTCAATTTTTAGCTCAAAAACGAATATTTTGTATGGGAGGTACCCTTAATTTTCGTTGAATTTTCTCAAAACTCTCCAAATGTTACTTTTTTTGAAAAAAATAACCTGTTAAAAGTTTAACATCCTTACGATACCATACAGGCATGATTTCCATACAAAAATCCAAATTGTTTATAACTTTTGTATGAAAAGTGTTTCAAAAATAATTTGTATGGCAAAATTACCATCAGACATATTTTTTCATAGTGTCACGATCTCAAAATCGCAATTTTTTTCAGGTTTGGAAATGTTTTAACATTACTCCATAAACATTACCTGTCTCAAAACTCCCTATTTTACCTTACATTTATTGTATCAACATGGAGAAAGGACATCAAACAAACACCATTTATTTGGACATTGCTAAGGCTTTTGACTTGATAAATTTGAAAATACCCATTCACAAGCTTGACATAATGGGATAGAATGAGCAGCCGTTAAATGGATTGAATCTTATTTGTCTGGACGAGTTGTGAAGATTGCGGATACTAAACCAGACCTAATTGAAGTTACTTCCGGTACGGGTTCAGGTTATCCCATAGGCGCCACTTTGTTCATCATGTTTGTCATTGATTTGCCTTTCGTCGTAACAATTCCAGCTAGCATATGTCCATAAAGTTTTGGCAGTAAATTCAGGCGTTTATTGCGCCACATAAACAAAATCAAAAATATCAACCAATGCACACGGCACGTTTATCAGTACCTCGGGACTACTATCAAACTCAATTCGATGAAATACATCCATTCGCGGAGACGTACAAATTGGATTTACGAAAAAGTGTCTCAAATGGTTGTGGCGGCTAAGTTCAAAACAAATTTCGCATGTGTCTAAAGATGAACCCATCATGGACTTAGTATGAAGACAAAGATTCTAGAGAAAGCAAAAAGTACGGTCGTATTCCCTATTTAAATGCTCCAACCCTCCAAAATTGTCATCAAGTACCGAAAAC